GTGTGAGTGTGTGTGTGTGTGTGTGTGTGTGTGTGTGTGTGTGTGTGTGTGTGTTTGGATGGATCCTGGGGATCAAAAATATAGTAAAACATAATATAATATTGTGAAATATTATTAAAATTTAAAAGATCTCTTTTCTATTTCAGTTTATTTTCAAATGTCAAATTTGCTGTTTTTATGATATTTTTGTGACATTCAGCATTCAAAAGGTTAGGCTAAGTAAGATTACAAAAATGTAATACTGTTATTCAGCAAAGATGCATTAAATTGAACAAAAAAAGTGACAGGCACTATTGCTATTTCAAATAAATGCTGTTCTTTTTAACATTCCATTCATCAAAGAATTCTGAAAAAAAACATATTTTTTTACTATTTAGCAGCAAAAACTGTTTTCAACATTGACAATAATAAGAACCATTAATAATAATTGATTACCAATATTAATTGAGCAGTAAATTAGCATAGTAGAATGATTTCTGAAGGATCATGTGAAACTGAAGAGTGGAGTAATGATGCTGAAAATTCAGTTTTGCGTTACAGGAATAAATAATATTTTAAAACATTATTTTACAATATTTCATGTATTTTTGATCAGAAAATGTAGCCTAGGTAAGCATAAGAGACTTCTTTCAAAAACAGATCAGTACTAAGTAAATAGTTTGATAAAGAAAAAAGTGACTTTATTCTGAAAGTGTGTTTTGTCTTGAGGTTTTCTCTCTGTGTCTGGTGTGGTTTAGCGATGGCTGGACCGAGGCCTGTGGTGATGAGCGGACCGTCTGGAGCTGGCAAAAGCACTCTGCTGAAGAAGCTGCTCAAGGAGTTTGATGGCGTATTTGGCTTCAGCGTTTCCCGTAAGTCACATACTGAAGTACAAATGCTGAAAAATTAAAAATAACCAAGAATGATCTTTTACCAGATACGACGCGGAGCCCCCGTCCAGGAGAGGAGGACGGCAAAGGTTAGGCTTTTGATCTGCTACAGAAACACCGTTTTCCTGAAAATATCATTGCATTATCCTCACTGAACAAAACCCAGCAAGCATGACATGCTTTCACAACAATGACATACATTCATTACATAAACAGCTAGTTATTTGAGTGACTAGTCAAACAGAATCTCTTCTTAAGGCCTGCTCACCACAAGACAAATGTTTGGTGGAAAAGTTTGGTGCGATTAAACATTTTAATTTGAATGAACGGCAGTTTATGTGGCTTTTCAGGCCAAGTTGTTTGATTAAAAAACCATAGCAAAAAAATTATATATATATATATATATACAGAGTTCTGGCATGAAACTCTAGATAGCGCAGTCCGATAGGTCTACCTCAGTCTGACCTAATGACATCATCACATGGCACAGCTGATTGGTTCTCTCCTGTATCGGTAGCCAATGAGCTCGCTGCTCAACATTCAAATATATGACTAGTGCTTATTCCGCCAAGACCAAATACATTAACATTGTCATGTACTTTACCATGCCAATCCCTCCAAGAGTTGTCATGACAGAAATATATTTATCTATATATCTGTGGCTGTTTGACTTTTTTTCTTCTCTGTGACAAGCGGGTGTCAGAAACAGAAAGTTACGCAGTGCTGCCATTGTGTTTATGTAGATTAAGTATATTAATAAAAAAAGGAATACAAATAGGGTATATCAGCATTTTGATAAGAAAATGGCATATGATATATCTTTTCCATACCTTCCGCCTACTGTCAAAGTGTGAAATTGCATTTTCATTTATCCATCTGTTTGTTTTTTTTCCACATTGGTCTGAGACAAATGGAACGTGAAAATGAGTTTTTGTTTCTATACACATGATGAGCTAAAAATGGGGGGGGGCAGCTGTAAATGAAGCACTCAAATACGTGCTTTATGAATTTGTGTTGTCCGTTTCTTGTCATTTCTATTGGTATTCTGGCTTATCAGTCAATGAGAGACCTATCTTCTGAAAAATTCCCCCTTTTTTTCAGATTATCATTACGTTACCAGGGAAGTGATGCAGGCGGACGTAGCTAAGGGTGAATTTCTCGAAAATGCTGAATTTTCAGGGAACATGTATGGAACAAGGTATAGTTCCCTTATTAAAAGTCTTGTTCGTATGTGAAGGTACATCGCTGACATCCTTCTTTTGATCCTAATAGAATTTCTTAAAGGTTTTTGTGATAACTGAATGGTCTAGAACAGGAGTGTCCAATCCTGCAGAGTTTGATTCGCTGATCCAGCTGTGTTCGACCCTCTGGTGCCTGGTGTTTTTCAATTAAATGAAAGTAGTATATTTTAGTTTTTACTTTATTGTACTAAATTTTATTTATGGAATGGTATGATCCATTTATTACCTGTTAACCACTTTTTGAGCGCAGACCTGAAAATTTCCAACTTAAACTGACGTAAATGTTTAATGCTTTGGAGCACAGACTTTGCTTTGGTCTCTTTTTAAAGAAGACGCTTGGAAAATAGCTTCTGAAGTGAAAAAATATATACTGTATATATATCATATAATATGAAAAATGCACAAAACATTTACATTTTATCTGAAATATGTAACGTTTTACTCTCAAACTGTGTGAAAACCAAAGCCCTATATCGAAACGAGTTGTGTTCCAAATATGAGGTTGACATATCAAAAAAATGAGTTTTCAGTAAGATTTTGTTTGGGCGCAGTACCAAACGTTTCCACTAGATGAAATTCGCTTCCCATTCGTTTCCAGTGTGGTCATTTTTGACCGCAAACCGTACAAGTGTGGCTATTTATTTTATTTATTTTCAAGACCATTTAATCTTTTCGAATCATGTCCTTTACCAAGTTTCGTACAATTCCGATGAAGTAAACAATAAATAAATAAATACACATTTTCTGTCAGAAATGACCGAACAGCACCAGAGGGTTAATTAGGTTGGAGCTAAGCATCTGTTAGTGATGGGAAGATTGGATTATTTTACTGACGTTCTCGTTCATCAAAACAAATGTAGTCATCAAGCCATTCAGTTGATTAGAGTGGCATTACATATTATATTTTCAACAGCCAATTTCTCCAAACACGTCCACCTATGCAATCTTGATCATATTCCAAATGAGGAAATCATTATAATGCAGCCAAAGATATGAGGAACATGAATGATTACTTATCCTCCCTCGTTCATTTGTCATGAACAACCCATCACTACTTGTATTCAAACTAGAGAAATACTGTATATGCATGTAATTGTAACTAACATCATTTTTGCCCCGTTTACAGTAAAGCAGCTGTACAGGCCGTTCAGGCCAAAAATTTGATTTGCATTTTGGACATTGACATGCAGGGAGTGAAGAACATCAAGAGAACCGATCTCAACCCCATCTATGTGTCCATCCAGCCTCCGTCAATGGAAACCCTGGTGAGAAATCAGCCATCTTTTTGAATTATCCGTCTTTTTCATGTTTTAATCTAAAACTTAATTTCTTCAGGAAAAACGCTTAAGGGATAGAAAAACGGAATCTGAGGAAAGTCTACAGAAACGTTTACATGCAGCCAAAGTTGACATGGAAATAAGTAAGTGTCCGTTCCTGTGCGAATTATTTTAGAATAAAATACTGCAGTAATTGTTTTCACATCTAACTGTTATATATATCCATATTTCAGGTAAAGAGCCAGGTTTATCTGATGTGCTGATTATCAATGATGACCTTGACTTAGCGTATGGGAAATTAAAAGATGCTCTTCTTGAGGTAAGATTTTCCAGTCACTAGGGGCCAGATTTACTAAACATGGCAAATTAGTCAGATTGCAATCCCTTTAAAAAGCACCAATGCAATGTACCCCGCACGTTACAAAAGATGCCCGTTCTACTGTTACATCCCTATTCATTATAACATCCCTCTAATGTCTTCCTTCTTTTATCTGTGATCTCTTTCTGTCATGTGAAAGTCAGCTCCTCGTGGTTTCTCTTCCTCAAACAGGAAATCCAGAAGGTCAGAGACACCAACAATTCGTAGACGAGAGCACACCTGCTAACCACAGCGACCTTCAAACCTTCAAACCTCAACATTCCACCCAGGAAAGACTTTCTGAGGTTCAGTCGATACTCCCAACACCGCTGAACGTCAAACATTTATACATTACTATACGGTGCAGGCTAATATTATATATTCTGAGTTTATTTCATGACCACGTATGTTACGTAATTCCTGGGCTAAAGGTCAGAAACATGAAGATTCAACCAAGAAACACTCCGAAAGAGTTTGTTTTGATTTTTGAACAATGGAAGAGACATGATACAGATTGTAGATTTTATATATCTATCTAGCACGTTCACTAATTTATTGGGGGTTTTTTCTATGCTGATATTTTATTATAACTCACTCTTTGCTGTTGCAAACACAACGCAGCTTTCCATTCGCAACATTTTAACATTCAGAGCTATTATCTGCACCTACGTGTTGCACCTGCTTTCACTCAGATATAATTGCATCTGAACGTCTGACAAGTCGAGGAAAGCCTGGTTTCTTAACTAATACCTAAATCTTAAATGATGGAAATGGTTGCGTCTCATCATGTTCCGCGTACACATTACATGCACATTACTCAGAATCAGATTACGCTTTTGTAAATAAGGATATTTCACTTTAATATGTTTACCAGCTTTGAAAGTTTTATAGAGTTCAAAGCCGATGCAGGCTTTGTTTCAGACTCTGTTTTTAGCGCAAGGCAGCTTATAAACACAGCCACAAGTCTCTTAGTAGGTTTAGGAGACATTATTGATGCTTTTAGTCTTACACAGCTGATCTTTAGTAGATCGTTCCAGCAGTTCTGATCTATTCCTGTTAATATTAAATGTGACCATCAAATAATACGGATACCAAAATAATACATCATTTTAAACTGAAATGATAGATTACATGCACAGTTCATTTTACCTAAATTACACCATTATGTTTGTTAGCGTTTGAAACATTGAAACATTGAACAATTTTTGTTCAACAAAACAAAATACTCAAAAATGTGAAATCATGCGCTAAATGGTGGTTTCAGTCCACCTGGTATAATGTATAACAATAGTTTTACATGTATATAACATACAACAATAATAACAAAAGCAAGAGTTTTAAAATGGGCTCTTGTGTTTTTCTATTGAGCACACACACACACACGTTTATATTTGTTTCTCCCAACCTTCAAAGTACTGTATGTTACTCATTGTCCATTGAGTGTGAAAAAGATGTAATATAATAACTTGTGATGTACAGACCTACAAATGAAACATGAAGTTTATCAAAATGGAACAACGGTTTTCCTAAAATGGCACAATTTTTAAAAAATCAGAAGAAGCCAAATGACCAGACACCAGCTGTTTCTGGCATGTAGAGCGACTTTGTGTATGTGGCGCATTTACAAGTTGACTTGTTTTGTGTTTTTATTTTTAAATATAGTGGTCATGCCATGGTCTGCTGTCTCTAGGGAATCTTAGAAAACTGCAGAACTCATGTCATTCCTTGGTGCATCTTAAACATTTCCTTGAAGGAAATCTGTCAAATGTTTGTGGTGTATGTGAAATCTGAGAAATGCAGTTAATGTCTCAAAACAACGTCTAAACCAAATGTCACCGGTTTCTTTTTATTTTTTTATTCTAGAACTAATTTACATGTACCATGCAAGTGTAATAAAACTGCACTATTACAGTGAAGTATGTGACTGTTTGATTAGTTATCAGTAGAAATATACATTATATCTTATTTGTGACCACAAAAGCAGTCTTAAATCGCTGGGGTATATTTGTAGCAATAGCCAAAAATACATTGTATGGGTCAAAATTATTGATTTTTCTCTTATGCCAAAAATCATCAGGATATTAAGTAAAGATCATGTTCCATGAAGATATTTTGTAAATTTCCTTTGCTGAGAACTTAATTTGGACAACTTTAAAGGCGATTTTCTCAATATTTTGATTTTTTTGCACCCTCAGATTCCAGATTTTCAAATAGTTGTATCTCGGCCAAATATTGTCCTATGCTAACATGTATATATCCTATTGTATTTGATGATATTGATGTTATGTTAATAATAGTTAACCCTTGTTTCAATTTTTTTAATTTGGCTGTGTTAGTGCAAACAACATACATTTTTACCAAAATGTGTATTTTTATATTTCACCCACATTTCACACACACACACGTTTATATTTGTTTCTCCCAACCTTCAAAGTACTGTATGTTACTCATTGTCCATTGAGTGTGAAAAAGATGTAATATAATAACTTGTGATGTACAGACCTACAAATGAAACATGAAGTTTATCAAAATGGAACAACGGTTTTCCTAAAATGGCACAATTTTTAAAAAATCAGAAGAAGCCAAATGACCAGACACCAGCTGTTTCTGGCATGTAGAGCGACTTTGTGTATGTGGCGCATTTACAAGTTGACTTGTTTTGTGTTTTTATTTTTAAATATAGTGGTCATGCCATGGTCTGCTGTCTCTAGGGAATCTTAGAAAACTGCAGAACTCATGTCATTCCTTGGTGCATCTTAAACATTTCCTTGAAGGAAATCTGTCAAATGTTTGTGGTGTATGTGAAATCTGAGAAATGCAGTTAATGTCTCAAAACAACGTCTAAACCAAATGTCACCGGTTTCTTTTTATTTTTTTATTCTAGAACTAATTTACATGTACCATGCAAGTGTAATAAAACTGCACTATTACAGTGAAGTATGTGACTGTTTGATTAGTTATCAGTAGAAATATACATTATATCTTATTTGTGACCACAAAAGCAGTCTTAAATCGCTGGGGTATATTTGTAGCAATAGCCAAAAATACATTGTATGGGTCAAAATTATTGATTTTTCTCTTATGCCAAAAATCATTAGGATATTAAGTAAAGATCATGTTCCATGAAGATATTTTGTAAATTTCCTTTGCTGAGAACTTAATTTGGACAACTTTAAAGGCGATTTTCTCAATATTTTGATTTTTTTGCACCCTCAGATTCCAGATTTTCAAATAGTTGTATCTCGGCCAAATATTGTCCTATGCTAACATGTATATATCCTATTGTATTTGATGATATTGATGTTATGTTAATAATAGTTAACCCTTGTTTCAATTTTTTTAATTTGGCTGTGTTAGTGCAAACAACATACATTTTTACCAAAATGTGTATTTTTATATTTCACCCACATTTCCTTTCATAAATCTAATTCACACTAGTTAGTTAGATGTCCCAATCGAAACCCATTAAAACTGAAATATTTAATCCAGGTAGCAATTCATCTGACAAAAAACACACTCAAAATCTATTATTTTCCATATACTAAATGCTAAGCAGGAAAAAATATAAAAGTTAATGGATTATGTTTTGTCTGTGTACCCATGATTCACTGTAGATTAATATTCAGCCTGCTATTAAATACATCCAGTCACACTTTCGTTTTGGAACCAATTTTTACTATTAACTACAACTTTTGCCTCAATAAACTCCTAATTTGCTGCTTATCGATAGTAAGGTAGTTGTTAAATGTAGGTCTGGAGTAGGGTTAAGGGATCTAAAACATGATCATGCAGAATAAGACACTGATATGTGCTTTATTAGTATTAAACAGCCAATATTCTAGTAATATGCATGCTAATAAGCAACTAGTTAATAGTGAAAACAGGATCCTAAACTAAAGTCCTTTAGGAATATTTGGTTGCCATCGAGTCAGATACGGGAGTCAAAGTGGAGCGGCAAAACACAGTTTCTTTTTATTCCAGGAAATAGTCTCTATTAATGAAATATTAAAGCTCTCAGCTGAACAAATTCTAGTACTTGTATTAAATTCTAATATTTTTAACAACAACCAAGCATGTTTTCCACAAGCTTAAGATTGTGAGAAACAAACAGGTACAATACAAAAGTGCAAAATGTAACATAAAACATTGTGAAATGAGAAGCAAATGTGAAACAGGACTCAACAAAAGAAGCAAGTTGCTGGCTAATATTCACATCAGCAACGCTGAGATGATGATGATGAAGACCAGCTATACATAATGAATGGTGTGCTGTACGGCTGAACTGAGTGGCTTATTGAAGCAGGCTGTGAATCTTCTGGCTGATGGCTGGTTAGAAGTGCTGTTATACAAATGTTTTAATTGCTCATGATCTCACAGTGTCTCAAAACGAAGTCTGAAAAGACTCACCTTGACACTTACTTCCTAAACGAGCCTCACCAAACGCACAGGCTAACATATGAGACCGATCTCCGGTGGTCTTCTTCACTCATTTAAAAATGATAATAAATTAGACACTAAAACCAGTTTTATGTTGCTGGGTGTGAATATGTGGCCTATCAGAGCACAGCTACACCTCCATCACAGCGGCTGGTGATCATGTTACCGATCTCCGTCCACGTGTCTAGGTGGGGGTCGTAGATTTCGACCGAGTCGACAGTGACCGGCGCTGAAAAGTCCCGGCTAGAGGTCCGACCTCCCACCGCATACAACAAACCATTAACGGCTGCAACCGTTACCCCAGCGCGCGGGACGGCCATCGACGCCACCTCCACCCACTTCTCCTGCAACAACAGAGCCATATGCATACGAGTCAAAACATTTGCATAAAGGGTTGCATTTTTGGTAATGTCAACAGCGTTGCATGTAGGGCTGCAACTAACGATTGTTTTGATAATTCTGTTGATTATTTCTTAAAAATCCAAATATTTGTTACAATTTAATAATTTAAATTAAAAAAAGTTTTAATTATTAAAAATGTTATTCTACATCCTGCCCAGTGCTGTCCTCCAAACAACGTGCAATTTGAAGTCTATAAAAACAAATAGTGAATGTATCTGTGTAGGCTATGTATACATTATGTGCAAAAAAGGGTAAAATATATTACATTCTATAACAAAAACAAATGTTTGCTTACCATTTTAAAGTTGAAGTTAAAATCACTATATTAAAAATCATAAAACAAAAGCACACACTAAACAAGGAACAAGCACTCATCTGAACAAAGTAATTCTATCATATTTACGTCAATTAACTACTTTTAATTCCCTTTACTATGGAAGCCCATTTCCGCCACAGGATTAAAAAAAATTGGTGTCTTTTTTTCTGAGAATTGCGACTTTATTTCTTGCAATTGCGAGTTTATAGGCTTTCTCGCAATTCTGACTTTATTTCTCGCAATTCTGAGTTTGCATCTTGCAATTCTAACTTTTTTCTCAGAACTGCGAGATATAAACATGATATTGCGATATTTTACAAAGTCACGATTATAAGAAAAAACAATCGGAATTGCGAGATTTTTTTAAATCACAATTGCGATTTCATGACTTTCAATTGCAATATATAATCCTGCGATTCTAAAAAGAAAAGTCAGAATTGTAGATGTCAAATCGCAATTACGAGAATTGTGAGAAAAAAAAGTCACAATTATTATTTTTTTAATTCTATGGCAGAAACAAGCTTCTATACTTTACTGTTACTGGTCTCATAAAAACACAATTCTTCGCGTTACATGTACAATTGTTTAATTTCTATCAAGAAATATTTTAGTAAAATGTATTAAGTCAGAATGATTGCATGCTCCATCTGTTTGACGCACAGGACAAGCCGCATTAAATGATATGCTTATATGTTTGTTATTTCTGTATAGTAACGTGACCGGCAGATGTGCACAGTGCATAGACGAGATTAATCAATAATCAAATTCATCCGGTTATTTTCATTATTGATTAGTTGTTGCAGCCCTATATGGATCAGACTTTATGGGGTCCTAACCTCTTCCAGGCAGTACTTCTCCACTGTGTCCAATGATCCCAGAGCCTCATTCCAGCCTCCTACAGCGTAGATGCAGTTATTGAGGCTAGCTACACCCACATACGCCCGTCGGGTCACCATGACCGGCAGGGCGCTCCAGCGGCGAGAGATGGGGTCGTAAATCTCAGCCGAGCGCAGCTCCGTACCCTCATCACTGATGCCACCAATCACATAGATGAAGCCTGGAACAGACGCACAACATACTGAAGACAAGGGCCTGCATACTTTCTTCATATTTCCACAGTGCACTAAAAGTATGCACTGGCTTGGTTACTGGTTAACGTTATTTTCCCTGCCTGTAGAATAGAGTGCTACAGCGGTGGTGTATTTTTGTAGGCAGTGCTGGGTAGCAACCGATCACATAAAAAGATTCCAGAAATTAGGTACTTGTAATTATTTACATTTTAAAATGCTTATAATCAGATTACAGTTACTTTGTTTTGTTTAATGTTTAATACATTTCATGATGTTGATAAAGAATTGAATAGATTTTCTTATCATTAATGTCAAAA